TATTTCTTTGTTCACATTATAATCCTGTGGCCTAAGACTTAGACCATTTATCTTAGAAACAATGTCCAGTCTTTGGCCTGAACCTCCCTAAGAATAAAACAACCAAAAGAGTAGGGTCATTCGTCTTAGAGACAATGTCCAACCCTCTTTTCTAAGCACTGAAAAAAAGGCAGAGTACCCTGGGCCAAGGCTCAGAGACCGTTCAGAAACCACCCAAAATAAACAACGACCAGACCATTCGTCTTAGAAACAATGTTTGGTCCTCAAAGTTTAATCAATCAATACCCCATAGAACAAGTAGTCAGACCATTCGTCTTAGAAACAATGCCTGGCTAAAATTAAATAAAATTAGCGACCAAGCCATTCGTTTTAGAAACAATGCTTGGTCCTTCAGAAAACAGAACAAAACACAGCAGTCAGGTCATTCATCTTAGAAACAATGCCTAACCCTATAAAACCCATTCGGACACAAGCAAAACTGCCTTCCTTCCAACCTTCCCCCTGATGCAACCCTTTATTACAATCTGCTTTCAGACAGACAAACAAAACTGAAACTGTCATTGCATATACCTTCCTTTACTTAGTCTGGTTTGTGTCCTGAAAGTCAAACTAGAAAGTCAAAATAGGGTGCATGCAGTATACTTAGTCAACCATAGCAAGATGTAAAAATAGGGGTCTATGTTGCCACTTGTACGCACCCTCGTACGAGTACGGACTCGTACTCTTGTACTCGTACGCTACTCGTACGCTACTCGTACGCTAGGGGCCCCGTACAAGTTTTTTTTTTTTTTTTTTTTTTTTTAATCCGGTATTCTTTTTTTTCCCCCTCAAATTATAATAAGAATCTGAAGATGATGCTCAGCCAAATATTGCTTGTTTTGTGTTGTTGCATCCCATAGTTCCTTTTCAGATTATTTTGATGACTTTTTTATTTTATTATTTTATTTTTTTTTTGCTTTTTCGTACGGGGGCGTACAAGACGTACAGGTTCCCGTACAGGTCCCCGTACAGATCCCGTACAAAAATAACCTGTACGTTTCGTACGGGAAACCCCCGTACGTGTACTCTATGCAACGTAGATAGGGGTTATACTGAGTTTATAGAGGGGGAGTAATTATTACCTTTCAATTCCCTGCCTCCAGAACTCCTCCTGAGTTCCGACATAGCTCCTGCAACCAGTGGGGCGAACCTCCCACAGAGGCGTTAGCACGGATTACGGGTTGCAATCCCGCCTGCCGCCTTCCTCTCAAAACCAATAGACTAGATTTAGAGTAAGATGGGCAGGAAAAAAATATTTCAGTCTCTCAGATACAAGAATGGTGCACTCAGACTTGGGAGAAAGGGCCTTGGTTCCTTAATGCTCCCGAGGACCCCGCAATGGTGGCCAAAATACGCAGCGGCTTGGCCAAACTGAAGTCAAACCATAGTCAAACCGCTTTGACTCCCCTACGACCCTTCCATTTGCAGCAATAGACCCTTGTCAACGAGCTCCGCTATCTCGCAAAGCTTCAAGGTCTGAACCGCCTCAGCCACAACTCAAGGCAGGGGCCGTGGACACAAAACACAGCCCCCCCCCTTCCTTGTAGTAGAGCCACATCGTGGCATGTTCGGCTATGTAAGTGCGGCATGCCTGCCAACATGTAAATCTGTTACTCTGCAGTCGGCTTCCCTTCTACTCCTCGATTTCTTCCCTTACTTCCTCTACATCTTCAGGTGTGCCTGATCTATATCTCAACCAGATGCGCACTCTCCCATATACAGGATCAGGGAGCACAACCGGGGGACCTGTTCAAGCCGACACACCCGCGCAACATGGCCAGTCTGGAGCGACGAGACGACCATGATCGTGCACGAAGGACAATACCCAGACGAGCACGAGCCAGGAGCTGAATCCGCGAGCTGCACGTCACGAAAACTGGGTTGAAATATATGGCGACGGCCCCGCTCCACTACTCCCAAAACGTGCGCGGTGATACTGAATCCATCTCCGAAACATGGGGGGATACACTGCCCCTTTGTTCACACGCACGGACTCAGAGAGCTAGCGAGTAACTTCCTTCGTCGGTATGGTAAGCAACGCACCAGCCCGGTAGGTAAGTCTCGAACTACTCTGACACTCCCCTCGATAGGGTGAGCAAAAGTCAAGTTCTACCGCTAAAACGTAGTTAGATGCATTCTCACTGTAGACCTTTCTTCCTCCCACTATCTTCAACGATTAAACGAGCAAGCTCGAATGTATCTTTCGCTAAAAGATGGCCGGATGCATGCACGCAGAGAGATAGAGAGACATTGCTTCCACCCTTAGGAGCAACGTATCGGCCGACAGGTAAGTATCCTACCCCCGTGGTTCACTCCCCCCTCGCTTGCCCCATCGTCAGCGTGGGTGCCCGCTTTCTTCTTCATTGCGCAGCTCCACTTCGTACCAGTTCCTATTCAGCATGCCTAACCTCAATACTAACACCCTTATCACGCTCGCCCCCTTCCTATACCCTGAAAACAGACCTTACACCGCTCAAAATCGTTTCTGAATCGGGTGAGCCCGACTGGCAAAGACTGAATGAATCCTCTGCTAAAACGTGGGAGTGTTAGTTGCCATGCTCAAGCTTTCGTCAGGCGCAGCCTACGGTAGTAACCCCAACAAAACTAACATCCTACTCGAAAAACAAACGTCATCACCTCGTTCGCCCTATCCGAAAACCCCGCTTTAGCATTTTTTCTTGTAAAAATCGGTTACGGGATGACTAAGTCACCCTGATTCCCTCTCTCCCGTTCCTCCACTCTCCCGCAACCCTCTTCTTCTACACCGAATGACTCGCTTCCTTCTCTCTAAAACTAACGTAGCCATTGGAATCGCCTTACCTTAGAATGCAGGAATCGCCCCTCCCCTCACCCGATTCGGATAAGAATCGGATGAGATACCTTTTCTTCCTTATTCTTCCTCCTCTCTCCACCATAGTTTTTGCACACCGTTCCTTCCCACTAGCTCATATCCTACTAATCCACTAACTAATCTCACCTCATAATCGTGCTTGCCCGAGATCAAAATCCCAGAATTGGCTCTTACCGCACTCGATTCGGCGAAGAATTGAGAGGATTATCACTCCCTGATGCGCCCCACCGTCTCTTCGCTATTGCCTTTTTCTATCAGTACCTGGCGCGAAATCGCACCAAGTTCTTTCCACCTTTTCCCAACCTTACCTTTCCCCGTCGTTCTGCTGCCTGTCTCTCCCGATCTGTGTATCCGTTTGAACGCCATGAACGCGCGTTCGCGTTCAAATGTGCGTTTGAACCTGGATTGCGCGTTCTCGTTCAGAATTGAACGGCGTTCAATTATTTATTTATTTTTTATGAAAAAACAAAAACATTTTAATACCTAAAAATAACTTTGTTTTTCTTCGTTTTTTTTAATGAGTTCTGAATGATGTGAGGTACATGACTCTCAATTTTGGCGTCATTTGGCTAAGGCAAACAAAAATGAAAAATCGCCAAAGATGGCGGTGTCAAATCGTGTTTGCTCACTAATTTCAATTCTTTTTTTACTTTTTTTTTTTTTTTCTGTTTTTTATTTGTTTGTCCAATTTGGTAACGAATTTAGATTTGATGCTGAGGCAAATGTTGTTTATTTGATTTTTCTTCATAACATTTTTTTTTTCGGAATTTTTTGAGTTTTTTTTTTTTTTTTTTTTTTTTTTTTTTCCCCCGCGTGGAACTGAACTCCGTGTTCGGTCTCGTTCATTGAACGCGCGTGCATTCCGTTCAATTTCTGAACGAAAACCAGCGTTCAATGAACGCGCGGTTTCACAGCTCCCTCTACCTCGGCCCTTCTGCTCCTACTCGTTGCCACAACGCCCAGCCCTGTCTCTCTTCGTTACTGTCAAGACCGGTGGTGGAAACTGTGTGCTAAGCTGCTCTCCACTCCTCCCTTAGCGCTCGTCGGCCCTTCTCCTACGCTTACCGCGTCTCAGCGGGTTATTAACGGCCGACTGCGCACGTCTGATCCTTTTGACGATTGTCCAGCGTTTCGACAGCGGTTGGCAAAAAAACTATGAGACGACCAGTGTCTAGGTAGCTCGCATGTATAACCAGGTCCCGTCGACCGAGCTGCACAGTCGCCCTGCACAGCTCTCTGCCGTAATACCCCTGGGCCCTATGCCCCCACTGGTCAGCACTTTTCGGGCCTAGAAGGTATATCCCCTCCTCCCTCACGACTCTCTCTGCAGGCCGTGGCTCACGGGAGGTGTACCCCCTGGCTCCGACGGGCGTATCCTCTCAACCTCTTTGTAGCCAGCCAGCAGATGGCGGATGCCGTGCTCACTAAAGGTCCCTGCCGCTGAGGGTTTTCTTACATCGTAGGCAAATGCCCCTCCGACTCGCATGCACGTAGAACTCCTCGACCCGCATCTACTATCGGTTCCGGGGTTGCGCCCAAAAATGAAAAGAATACAAAAAAAACAAAGGTAAAATAATAAAAATAGGCACAAAAAATTTAAAGATCAAACCGCACAGCGAGAGGGGAGGAGGGAAATGAGGACTACTACTACCGCCATGGTCCCGACTAGCTACCCTACGGTAGTTAGTCTTTCGTGCCCACCGTGCGGTCGCTTGTTCTCGCGGCTTTACCCTCACTCCCACCTCGCTGTCATGCGGACCCATGTCATTGTCGATGTCGTCTTCCGCACGTACCAGAAGTCACAAGCAAGCGCCCCAATCAAAAGGCAAAAATCTTCTTAATAAATAAATAAATAAATAAAAATTTGACCGGCGATCACGCCGGCTCTTCAGTCATCAAGAAATAAAATCATGAGCGCCTTAAGTCTGCGCGTCCACACACTCTCTATTCTAGTCAACCATCCAGTCAACGTAACCTACAGACACTTGCGCGTCTCACACGGTATACTCAAATATTAATCTAAACTTATTTTTTGTCAACTGCAAAAACCAGGGCGGGTACCCTTGTAAGGGTATTCGTATCGCCACCGCCACGTCCAAAGTTTTGGCGCTCTAATCAGGAAAAGTTCAATGAAATATATGACTGGTGGCACACGGAGATGCAGGTGAGGAACGTGTCACAGCAGGAGAAGGAACGTGAGAGAATCAAAGAAGAAGAAAGAAATAAGAAGGCTAGGGAGGCAGAGGAATGGAAGAAGGAGAGGCAAAAGTTTCATAAGGAGATAGGTCAGCTATTGGGGGAACAATTGAAGGAGGTCTGCCGTTCGATTCAGCCGACTACCGGTGCGAGTAATCATAAAGAAGATGAGATTGTAAGGTTGAGGCGGGAATCAGAGGAATTCCGTAGAAGTATGGAGGAGAAAATTGAGAAATTAACATTGGAGAACGAGCAGTTGAGATGTACGAAGGAGGCAACCAATGAGGGTTACTGTGCCTTAGGCAACAGATCTGGTGTCAAACGAAGAACCGACGTTCTTGGCGAAGGGGTAGTGGAACCAAACCCGACGACTCAGCGAGAGCATACCCACCTATGGAATCGGCTGGTGAGTTGCAGAAGCTGCGAGCAGCGTATAGCAAGACGACTAGTGACAGAGAGATGATGGAGGCTGGGAACCGATTGTTGAAGGAGCTCAAGGTAAGCGGACAAGTTGAGCTGGTTGAGCCATGGCAAAAGATGAACTGAACCCAGATGCCTCAGACCAATCTTCGTACTACATTTGACGAAGTCACAATCGTATGCTCTGAGGACGAGGATGATGACTCTGCCCCACTAGTCAGGTCTAGTACGATGAGTAAGAAACGTAAATACGAGAATGGGATCCGAAGAGATTTACGAGGACAGAAGAAAGTTGATTTTCTGGAGATCTGCGCTAAAGAGGGTGTTCAATTTGCTACGATCAAGCAAGCTACCGAGGACTTGGTGAAGGTGAGGATGGAGAAAGCGTTTCCTACCAAACAAGGTGAGTGCAGTCATGCTTCGGAGGAGGAGGATGATTAAGCCAAGACAGGGAAGGGGAAGGAAGGAACCCGCGGTGTGTTACTGGAGGAGATTGTAGACGAATAGGGTCTTATCCCCAGTGCAGATGCACTCTCGCAGTGCTTAACTAACTATTATAGCTCGAGGATCGATGCTGTGCTTATCCGTGATTCGAAGTCCGATGGCTTGTTTAGGATTCTTACTACCATGCTGATTTCACGAGGGGAGGTTTCATGGTTAATGAAGTTCAAAAGTTATATTGAGGATTTGGCTTCGTCGGGGTTTGACTTTCTTCGTTGTCCTGGTCCTTTGGTGTATGCAATTGTTTCTCTGTGGAGTCGATACATTTATATAGGATCTACCACTAGGGACTTACCGACACGTTGGAAGGGGCACGTATACCGATGTTTGAATCAGGGAGAATCTAGGAGGGGACATAAACTGTATTGATAGATGAGAAGGTTTGGGTTGAAGAAGTTCGTAGCGATACCGTTGGTTGCATGCAGTCCGGAGGAAGTACTATTTGATGAGAGTTTTCTGATTAAGATTTTCTCCCCCCACCTAAATTCCAAGGAAAGAGGAAGTGTGTGAAGAAACGAAGGAACAGTAAATGGGAACGTCAGCGGACTGCAGCCAGGAGTAGTAAGCAAAGTGGTCTGCAAGGTAAGTTACTCTCATATGTATCCTCAGATGGCCAGGTATCGTACGGTATCCTCTTTATTCTTAAGGATTGTTTCATGAACAGGGTTCATGATGTTGTATATACGTGTGGAGGAGGGGAGATAATTGCTGAAGGACGGAAGGTGATTCGCAGGTGCTTCGGTATGTCTGTGGTGATGTCGAATTCAGGATAGCTACAATTGAAGAATGCACGATCATGGTTCAAAGTCGGGATGGTTATTCAGTTTGTTAGTATTAATTATTTCTGCTCATCCCTTGCTCATTTGAAACATCCTTTGTCGATTCTTCTGTGTAATCCGATACGAAGAAAAGATCTATATTCCTGGAGTTTTGAGGAGTTAGTAACTGGGTTTAGCGCGGTGCGGTGTTTTTCGGAGAAACGGACGCGCTTCACTCTGCGTGTAATTCTGTCGAATGTTATTCGAAGATGCTTTGGAATCTCGATGCGAGAGCGTATTGTGGTACGGGTTACTTATGACGACAATATCTCTAAATCGGGTGTGCGTACCCTTTGTGTGGAAACAATTCGATCGTTACCTATGTCTGTGTTAATGTCTATTTGTTACCGAAGACTACTGGGCACGTCAGATTCCGGGCTAGTGAGGTGAGTTTTCTGCCTGGTTGGGCAACTAATGTTAAACATGTTCCACGACCGACTAACTTTTGCTCCGTCCGATCCTTGAGATGATCCCCATCGAAATCGTTTAGTAGATTTTCCCAGGTAGGGGTGCCCGAATTCTCCAACTCTATGCCGAGGAAGGTGATCACTTCGACTGTCCCATCTTTTTTTTTCGTCTATTCCTTCTTTTTCTTTTTTTTTTTCTTTTTCTTTTTTTTCTTCTTCTTCTTGTTCTTCTTCTTCTTTGTCCTCTTCTTCGACATTTTCTTCTTCTTCCCCTCCTTCCTGCTTATCATTTGAATTTTCTAATGCTTCTCTCAGGTTTCTCACTTGTGACGTGGATTTTGTTCAGCACATTCAGGAGTGTTTTAAGGACTTCGTATGGTGTACGATTGGTCATAATCCGGGCGACTCTTCGTTATGCTGCCCGGTGGTGTATCATGAAGGGCTGTGTAAATTGTTCCTTGACAATGATCCGGGGTTCCGGCTTATTAACAAAGATGAGGATTTGTTGTTGAGGGATTGTCTGGAGGAGTTCAGAAAGGGAAATTTTGACAGACTAGGTAAGTGGAAGAAACAAGGAGAACTGGGGAGAGCATACATAATTCCCAAACACAAAGACGTGAGCAAGTGGAGACCTATTTGTCCATCATATGCGGAACCCGCAAATTCTGTCAGCAAGAAGATATCTAGTTGTGTCAATGAAATGCTTTGGAGACTGCCGACGGACTGCCATTTCAACCTTTGCAGTACACAAAAGTTGATTACCCGTGTGAATAGAGTCAATGATCGTGTGAGGAAGAATGAGTGTGTTGTTGGGGGCTCCTTCGATGTCAAGGAGATGTTCTGCAGCCTACCACATGACTCTATTCTTCGAGCCTTGAGTTTGGTGGTAAAGTACTGGGAGGATAAGAGATTTAAAGGAATGCTTGTTAAACGCAGGGGAAAGGGGCCAAGGTTGCAAACTTGCAAATGAAGAGAAGGTTACCAGTCAATTCGGTTCGACCAGATTCTGAGTTTTGCGCATTTCGATTTGGAGCACACCTTTATTGAAGTTGCTGGCGTAATTTTACAACAAGTGATTGGAATATCTATGGGTAAACCCTCCAGCCCGACACTAGCCTGTTTGCTATGTGCCTTCTATGAGTTCCACTTTTCTAAACTCCATTGGGTTTGACAGGCGACTGTTGTTTGGAATTCGTCTGGTCGATGATATTTCGGTTTTTGTAAGATATAGGAGAGGCTGTGTTGAGTCTAAATTGAGAGTTTTTGGTCTAATCAAGCAGTTTGAGGAATGTTACGATTCGAAATATGTCCTTGAAAAAATCAGTAATAGTGATTCATGGGATTTTTTGGGTTGTGTTGTGTCCATTCTTTATCATAAAGCCATCCGCTGTGTGACTCTTCATCGGAATTTGAGGGCGATTTTTGAACAGGACTTGACTTATCAAGGGATTCAGGATTACTGTTCGTACTCATCCCGACAACAGAAAATGGTTGTCATCTTTTCCTTTCTTCACCGCTGTAGGAATTTAACAAATCTTCAGGGAGCTGAGTCTGCCTTTTTGTTTTCCCTCAAAGTGGAACTTTGGGAACCTGGTTATCTGGATTACCTGTTTGACTTGGCCCTGACAGGGTTTGCAACCAAATTTGGAGACATATGGAACCAATGGGTGCAGATGTTCACAGGATGGGGGAGGTTGATGGCTAAATAAGTGGGGGCCCATGTTGACTAGGGGTCTGTGTTTCCCGAGTGTTGTTTTACTGTAAGTTTGTGATGAATTTGAGGATCTGAGGGGGACTCTCAAGAGGACTGATACGGGGCCTAATTTTCTGGAAGATTCGGTTTCAGGGTTGATTGACGGTGAATGTGGCCAGAAAAGACGTATTACAGGGTTGATTTTTTTGCTGATCTGACTCTCTTGATCTACGTACAGACTGATAAGATTTAGTTTGAACTGCACTGATTCGTATAGGTTTCGGTTAGTCCTAGAATTTTGGTCTAGCGATCGCTAATTTAGGTTAAGTTGTTGTCGAAGTCTTTGAGCCAGCAAGACTCCTAAAGAGGACGGGTGGGCGGTCGACCGAAACGCTCGAGTCATTCGCCGTTGATGCTGCGTCAGCAGTATTGGGGATGTTTTCACTCCGGATGTACCCTTTGGGGTCCTCCGCTTTTGCCCCCCATTTGTGCTCGGGAATACACTGTTTCTTCGAATCTGTGTGCTGCAGCTTGACCAATCGTCCTTCTCTCTCCCTCTTTCTCTCCCCTCTCTTCTTTTCTCTCTCTCTCTCTCTTTTTTTTTTTTTTTTTTTTTCTCTCTCTCACTCTCTCATCTATGGATGAATGATTTGAGTATAACAACATCGAAAACCACCGAAGACGAGTTGCTATGAGTCCCCAGAGCCCTAAAACATTCTGAAGACCACCAAGGGGAGTAACACACAAAAAAAAGGAAAGCAAAAAATCCAAACTGGAACCACCGACTTGCAACCTCCCACTCAACTTTTTGAGGAAAACCAAAGGCCTTGTAAACAGTCCTCGATCCTACACACGGATAGTCTCATACCCTCCTATGCTAGGGTTACAGGACGCCCCATGCCCGGATACCGACCATCCTAGTATGAACGGTAGGGAGTGCCTTCCTCCCTCGACATCTCCCATCAGCCGCACGCCCCTGATAGTCACAGGGATAAAACCCTGGCAACGGCTACGTTGAACAGGTTGGTTCTGCCTTCCTCCCTCGACAAAACTCCCCAAGCCTCACGCTCCCCCAGGTTACAGAGCAAAGCTCCAGCACCAGCCTATGTTGTCCTAGCCACGTCCTTCTGACCTAGTAACGAAGACTAAGTCCCCCCTGTGGCTCCCCCCATTCATACTTCTCACCTATCAGTGTGAAATATCTGCTTCCCTTAATCATGTGTATTTTTCCTTAATGACTGCTAAGTACAAATTTGATCAGAACTTCGAAAATTCCTTGGCATAGAAAAAGAAGGAGTCAAACATTATGACATCAAATACAAAATTAAAAAAAGAGCCCAAACTTATGCACACAAATATGGAGAGCTACGTCAGATTTTGAATTTGATCAAGGATGGATAAACGTAGAACATCAATTCCACGTTAAGAAAATCAATTTGAAACCCTTTGTAATCCGAAATTGAGAAATCATTCATTAGGATCAGAGCAAAAGAACTTTGATTACGAATTTCAGATTAGGAATCTTGCTCAGAGAATACAAATCTAAGATTAAGAACTCTGCTAAGAAAATGCGAATTTCAGATTAGGGTTCTCGCTGAGAACCAGAAAAACGGGTTTCAGATTAGGGTAAAAAATGAATTTCATATTAGGGATCAAATGCATCCGGAAACCACCTACGATCACCATGAATCAGATTTTAAACAGCACAATCATAGCAACGAAATCATGCAAAAACAACCTCAGAAAAAAATCCCAGATAACACCAGCATCAGAATGCATCATCCTCAGAAAATTCCAGATCCTGTTTTTTGACAAAAAAACAAAAGCTCAGTAGGGATTTTAATGTTTGTAATCAAAAGGGAAATAACACCTCAACCGTCTAAGAGAAACAGCGGACTATCCGCATAATTCCTTACCAACCCTATTCCCCCCCCCACATGTCATGTTCTCTCTCTCTCCCAACCTCCACCTCCTCCTTCATCGACTTCAAAAGCGTCTCAGTTGGTCGGAACCTACATCACATGTAACCAAAAAGTTAAACGATGAAGATTGTCGGACCGTGACCAACTTACCACAACAATGCCACGTAGCGAGCCCAAACCGCCGAGCCCGTCGACGACCCCTAGCTGACAGTCCAGAGGGAGAAAGAACATCCATGGCGGCAGAACCTACTCGATCCGCTGTCTCTCGTAGCCGGCCGTTCGAATCTTCACGAAGAGCAGACCTGCCACAAACGAGCGGAGAAGAGCTGCTCCCTGCC